GGAAATTTTAATTTGCACTTATACGCACTGTTGTGTGGTTCCTGGCCACAGGAAAATCTCCACTGCCTTATAGCCGCCCACCTGTACATTTACGGCCATGATAATTATTGCCTACAGGTACCGAATTCTACATTGATGGCATATGTCAGGGCCAAAGTTCATTGTGTTGACTCCCTGCAAACAGCAGCTCAGTGCCTGAGCAAATTACCATTTCATGGCACCCACAACCTCATTGCATTGTTCTCACAGAACTCATTGTCCCTTTTTCTGAACTACACAATTCCTGTGCTAGTTTCCCAGGCCTCATAACGTGGGATTTGCTGTGGACACAAAGTGGCGTTAGGACAGATTTTCTCAAAGTACTTCGATTTCCCTGCCAATCGTCGTTCCACCAATTTCTCTACAATCATAATAATCTAGGATTGGTACAATAAGTCACAAGTAGCCAAATCGTCTCTCACTCCAATAAAAATAATAAAAGAATCCTACCCACATCCCACCCTCTTGGCTTCATCTCTTCCAACGTCCATCTTAATATTCTATTTGTATCCCCCAAGATATCCTTCAATTAATCCCAAAAAATACCCTTTATATTCCTCTCCTGTGACTGACATGTCCTTGGTTCTTTACTATTGTCCTCAATACACCTCACGAAGTTCATCCCCTAAAAATATTCTGATAATTCATAATGCACACTAGTCCTTAGATTAATTCCATGTTCAGACCCTATTTGAGGTGTTACTTATAAGCCTTCCTTACTCAGACTGCATCACATAGATATGCAACAGTTCCCAAGCCCCACCTCCCTAAATACAAAATGAATATTCCCCATGGCAAAGTGCATCCATGAACATTATCACTGGCATGTAATTTGCAATTTCCCCTCCCCCATATTTTCACACCATCTTATTTTCAAGTAACTTCGGACTTTCATACTTCTCATGAAATGTACTGAACAGAGCAAAATCACACTTCACAAATGTTTTGTGTTCATACACCATGGCCCAACCTGAATATCCAAAAAATTTCTGTTGCAAATCCACTACATTAAAATAGACTCTTATGCTGATCACATCCAAAATAGATAATTCTATTCTGATACCTGTGGCCTCAGACGAAGTCTCCTCAAAGTATAATCTCAGTATATTCACTCAACTCATTGCCTGACATTGCTATGCTGCTACAGCTGACAGCCCATTACAAATTTAAATGCTGCAAACCCAAAGTGCACACAAATATGAGGAGATCGTGAACAAAGCCTGGGGGGAAAGTAAACAGAACCAATTTGAAAATGATTACGAGGACAGGGTTCAACTTAAGAGGAATTTGAAACCAAACCAAATCCTATAAAACAGTATATTACACATTAATGACAAAAACACAAGGAAACTTCATGCACAGATAATCAACAAAGTCCAGAAACTATTACAAAATACACAGTGTGAAAGCTGGGATGAGGGAGAGTCCAACATGGGCTTTAAGCCTTTATTTCAAACCAAGTGGTACATAATAGCACATGCGTCCTTACAGCAAACACTGACCTACAAATAAGAATTACATAATTTCACTTACCTTTCATGTCAGTGCCATTACAACTTGGGCATCAAGATATGCATAGGCATATCCGGATAGAAACATTTTAACAAACAGCACCATACATCCATGAGATACTAGACTGAATTGCTGTTACCACATTTCGTTAAATGCATAAAAACAAACAATTCAATGTCCTGTCACACTGGTTCAGAAAGACTGCATGGAGCAGAAGACAACAAAACCACGGATTCATGTGTTCAACTTCCAACCCATCTCAATTCCTACAAACAAAACCTCCTTGGACAAACCCCCATGTCATTGTGCAATCGATTACCAGTGCTTCACAGAAATGTCTGCTTCCATTCTGATGAATCTGGAGATCAGGTGATCTCGTCATGTATTTGGTCATGATCAGCATCATTTAACATGGATAATTGGGTCACACCATAGCTCAAGCAGTTAGTCACTGGCTTCCCACCACGGTGGCCCAGGTTTGATCCCAGGTCTGGTCAAGTGGGACTTGTGGTGGCGGAAGTGGTGCTGGGGCAGGTTTTCTCCGAGTACTTCGGTTTCTCCTGCCAATCTTCATTCCACCAATTGCTCCACAATCACCCTCACCTATCATCTGGGGCTGGTACAATAGGCCAGAAGTGGCTGCAGTACAAGGGACTTAGTCCCACCCCACTAGCAATAAAAAAAACATGGATAATGTGAAATGAAGGAAGCAGTCCCAGTACTTGTGTGTCAATGGTTATGCTTTGCTGATGTACACTGGTAGCTACCTTCTCAGACAGACTTACACTAAATCCCATTTCTCTGATGTCAGGATATAACCCGGTCTCAAGGGCTACTAGCACCCATGTAGCATCTCCAAACATTATGCAGTATTGCACACAATTAACTACTGTACAGTATAGTACAATACTAGTGAGAACTACACAGTACATGCCCACCAGTGCAGCCCTGTTACATCCCAGTAACTTTAACTGCAATACAGGCTGCAGTCTATGCTAATCATGGACCCTGGCTACCAGCATACATCAATGAAGAAGCACCTTCAACACACAGCCACTAGTAACGTTTCCTAACATCCGAGTCTTCCCACGTTAGGAAATAGGGGGGTTTCCCTGGATATAAGAGAACACCTGACTCCACCCACTGTTCTCTCCACGAGTCCCTTTGCAACGAGGCATCAGATTCCAAGAGCAACTGCATGTACACACTGACCACATTGCTGCATCACTCAAACAATTAATCCCTGATGATGGACGATCAGACTGCCATTAAAATGGAAATTCATTTCTCATTCAAACAGCTAATCACCCAATAAAAAAATTTTGTTTTCACAGCCTGTCTACAAAATATTTCTAAAAACGATATGGGTACAGTAACTGCTGCAGGCAGGTAAAACGACTCTGTTCTTTAAGAGGGATGTATGTTACTGCATGTAATTACATTAACTATTCTAATGCTGAAGGTGTTGAAACTGAATGTAGGTTTCTCACTTCTGGTGCAGGTTGACAAATACTTAGGGACATAATGCTTCTTTGTCATCTTCAATGTGTGGGCATCAGACTGGACACTGCGTCCATACTGTATACTATGGCAGGCAAACCCTCAAGTACTTAATTCTTACATTTTTATGAGGATGGACATGACATCACATGAACAATTATTTCCTTTTTCCACATCCTTCTGTTTTTCTGATAATGCGTGTCAGTCGACCTCTAAATAAATCAAACGGGGGCTCACAGAAGTCATCAATTTGTAGATGATGATGATGATGAGGAGGAGGAAGAGGACGCAGTGCATGACTCGCTTTACTCTCAGTCCAAAGAGTTCTATCTTTCTAACAGCATCAGAAAACTTGTGGACTGCTGCACGAATGTTCTGAGAAGCAGGGAGACTATATACATAAGTAGAAAATTAGGTAGAAACATTTTACAATCATTTTCATACACTGCTGGTATATCCCTCTTTTTCTCTCCTGCAAAGTCTTTGCCGCAGTTCCAAGCACAAATAATCTGGTACTGGAAATGAATGCTCCATTTATACAAAAACAGCATTAACAAGTTAAGTCGTTTTATCACTGACATTTTGCTTTCCTATTAGGTGTGAACTGAATTATTTCTACACAATGTTTAGAAGAAATTCAGTCTTGAAAGCGTTAATTTTTATTCACCACATCAACCAGATTTTATAATTCATTAAGAGCAAGCGAACTTCGATTATAGTCCAAAGGAAGTCTTGCCTCACCATCTATAAGCTAATTAAATAAGTTTCTGCAGGAATTTCCGTTTGCCACTAGATGGTAGCAGTTCTGTGCTTTGATTTTTTATTGATACATGGGTCATATGTGAAAGCAGTACAATATGTATGCATGAATAATGAGGTAAGAGTTTCCATGAATTCACGAAAAAACCATCTGCCGGAATTGAGGATACAATTATATTTTAATAATTCTTCAGAACTCTGTGCCTTGCAGTTTGCCAAACCATGTATTACATAAAAGGGCATGCGGCTGTATAACTTCCTCGTCACAGACTTCCTCCCACGTATCCCCACCACCATCCTGTTCTACCCAAGTGCACATGGTATTAAAATTATTTTTATCAACACACAGAATTAACACTTCTATATATACAGTACAGTTGGCTGGTGTAGAGGCATCTAAATATATACAATAGTCACTCTGACATGTAAACACACCTAGGGATCTCTAAATATTGCCTGATGAAACCAGCGAGACACATGCATCTTGCAGGACAAGGTAGTAAGGGAGTAGATTTTCACCAAATTACAGCATTACATTTCAATGATCATATGCTTCAAATCTTATATAGTAAACTATACTTAGAAATGAATTTCATATCCTGACTGTCCTGAACACCCTCCATCAACACCAAGAAGAAACGGAGTATGTCTGCCTTAAAGCAGTAGTTCCCAGAACCTCAAATTCTTAATTTCATTTCAGGGATGTACAACACCTGTAAAGATAATCATGCCACACACCATCTAAATACTGGTGATACAAGATCCAAACTTACAATTGTTTACAAATAAAAAATGTTATGTCACGGTTCTATTCGTCAAGATATCAGAAGGTTCAATGACCATAAAATCCACTATGTACACATTACAGAGACACATACACAAACATTACCTTCTGCTATACACAAACTAAATCTGAAAAGAACCTATTATGATCAGAATTCCACTTCATGTATAATTAAAATATATGCTGAAAGATCAATGTATGTATTGGAATCACAAGTATGTGATATTTATCCATATGTGTTCTGAATTCTTTTGATTTAAAGAATAATAAAAGCCAAATACAAAGAAGATAAAGAGGAAATAGAGGCAGTGATTTCAAAACATAAATGTAGAAAGACTAGTCTTTCAGATGTGACATGATACAGTTTCTCACAGTGAAGATGGTGGTAAAATAATGAACACACACCTAAAAACTAATCTGTATTTGAAATAAAAGATAAATATTACACACCTGTACAAATAATTTCTTTCATGTACAAAGTCAACTCTGCATGAAGGTCACTCAAAACATTTTTGTGGTGGAATATTATCTTTATTTTTCCATAGAACATGTAGGTTGATTTTCGTTTAGCTGCAAATCATTACATCACTTCAAATCATGCGCATTTTGTATATTAATGCCACAGATGGCTGTACACATTTCCATATCATGCCTGTGTACATGATATCTGAAAATTTGTACCCACAGATTTCACTGCACAATCCTGTTATGAACACCGAGGATAAAACTTCCATTGATAAAATCTCAGTCAACATATGATTTTCAATGAAAAGAATTAAAAGTTGAATGTTCGTTGCTACGTCACATTAAACTTTCATCATGCTTTCTACGAAAATTATGTGTCAGTCAATAATTTTGTCAAGGGCCATTCTCATTTCTAAGTTCATCACAGAACCGTGTGGTGGAATCCATATGTATGAACTTCTGGACATCGCGAATATAAGTTTTTCAAGCATGTATTTATGCGATAAATCCAGTTATATATGCCATTCGTTCATATCTTGAGAAAGGTTGGGCAAATGGTAAATACAGCTGCCAAATTACAAGAAGAAACCACAATCCCCTTCAGAAACTTACAAAATGTGTTCTTTGGTGAGGAACTTTGTGCATTTAATTTTCTTCATGGAACCACATATTTTATATAAAATATCAAATATTTATGACATATCAAGCCTATCTGAATATTCTCACATGTGAGAAATTAGGTTTTCAAAAAGGTATTAAGATTGCAGACTTCTGAGATGTGACTCTGTGTAGCATGGCAAATAGGTATCGAATGTCTCTGAGGAACCCTCACCTACCACATCCAAGATAAAGGCAACAGGTTGCCTCAGAACATTACTACCTGTCCACCATACTACACAAGAGCAGCACCACCAAAAGTCTTCAATTTTAACACCTTCACACAACCCACAAACCAAATTCATATTCATCACCCCATGTGCAATGTGCAGTTACATAATTATCAACTACTGCTTTCATACAGAAAGACAAATTCCCTACACTTCAAAAAGCATGAAAAATATTTTGAAGCTCACTGAGAAATCCAAACTGAAATAAGCAATAATCTGTTGAATCCTTCCATGTCCTCAGGCATCGATGTAGTGTGACTATTAACATCAGTTATTTAATGATGAACATATTTTTGTATTAACATTTCCATCAGTTTAAACATTAAATTAGTGATCATATTAAATTTAAAATAAATGCACAATTACATACACCTCAATATGGATCCATGACAGTAACACTAACCAAAGCTACTCTATTGAAATTATACAGTACACAACCAATTATGTGTGGAGATTATACACAGTCACATTTCGTAACATTTACAGCCCTGTTACATCACAAGCTATTCACTCAGTTGCTGCCATCTGCAAGTTGAATCTTTCGAAGATAGTTTTCAATAAAAAAAAACATTGTGGTTAACAGAACATTTTCATACTTTTTGCATGAAAGTGCCCTGAAATCACCCAACTTTACACTAAGCAGAAAATCAGTCTTGTACTACATAATATATAATCCAAAGTGTATCAGATTTAAAATAAGCTAACTTTGGATTAATGTAGTTTATTTATTATCTATGATTTCTCTCTGCTCCATTAACCCCTAAAAATTAAGAGTAAACTTTATTTTAAAGTAACATAAACATAAAATTGAAATACTGAGCCTGATCATACTTACTTATATATGAAAAAGCAAGAAGCATACGTTAAAAAAATAAGTAAATTAGATCAATAAAGACGTTTCAAAAACAAAAACACCTGCATAAGCAGACTCATAATCTGAAACATCCAATATGAATTATTTATCATTTCTATGAAGTTCACGAAATGCTTCAGTACATATAGTCTGTAATACTAGACTTTTTTATGCTTCAATCCTAGTGTCATTACAAAAAAATATAACCAAAAGCTACCATGAAGGACATGCTAATTTTAGATATCACAGGATACAATGAGTACTAATAAGCAACACATGAAGTATAGCAGAAAAATGTCACCTTACAGAAAACAACAGAGGACTGTAATGTAGGTTGGCACATTCCATGACTCAGTCCACACAGCAGTGACAGAATACGTGAAGGATTGAATTCTTTCCAGAATCATATATTACTTTGTTATATAATATATTTTAGCATGAGTTTTTCTTTTCAAATCTGAAAGAACACTATTTATTAAACATGATAACTTTATGATGCTGTCAACATCTACACAACATAGTACCAAATGGCAGGATTGTTACTGAGTTGGATAGGATCTGGAAGGTATAAGCTGCATCCTAATCAAGGTACTATCCTGACATTTGCCTGGAAGAACTGAGGAAAACCATAAAAAACATCAGGACAGCCAATGGATCTGGATAAGACTGGAAATAAGCACATCCTGAAAAGAAGTGTGGAGCACTATCACTACAAAAACCCACACCATAACAAAATGAGCTGCGCTGTTGATCATCTCATGTTTAAATTCCACTACATTAGTGTTGTCCTGAGAATAGCTGCATCGATAGGTACCAGTACAGCAGAGTTAACACATGAACCTCCTCATCTGTCAAGTTTAGGGGAACGTGTCTTCTTGCCGATAGTTTGCCAGGTACTGCCACCAACAGATGAACGGAAGAACTTTATGCAATCATAAGTATTAAGCTAACCTAAAAAAATCATGAAAAATATGGGGGGAAACAACAATTAGGGCTAGTCTAGCGCACAAAAAGAAACACTGAAATAGTGGAAGAGTTAAGGAATGAGAAATTGTGAATTATCCATACACTAAATTTTATAATAGCATATATATTACTTCTGTAATGTCTCTGCCAAGTCATCCATGCCAATGCCAAAATACTAATTAATGCAATTTTATTTTAGAAACACATAAAAATTACTGAAAATTTGAACATAAGTGCTTCAGACTTATCAGGTATACAAACTGCCTGAATATTCCAGCTGCTTTAGAAGCTGCGAGTTGTCTCTGTTGCTGGGACAGCGGGGTCGCCACAGAATCATTAGCAGTGAATGTATTAAGAATCTTATCAACGGCAATAATGTATAGAGCCATCACAAATACAATACAGCTAGCTGCTCAATATTATACAAATGATGTACAAGCAAGTACAGTAATAATATGTGAAGATTTCACATGTGGTTCAGTTCAGTTCAATTTTCATAAATAGTATAAAGGGAATTAAAAATTAAAGGTAATTACCAATTCTGGATAAATTAATTAAGTGCACAATTATGCATCATCATGGTTATACTCATTCTGAACACTGTCCATTATCCAAATGGAAAACACAACCAAGAGGATAATATTCAAGATACATGATGTTCTAGAGGGTGGCCCTAGAATGGAGCAGATATGGGCTAGAGTACAAGAAAGGTACACACACCTCAGAAGGAGATACAGAGTGAAGGAACAACTGGTCACAAACATTTATGAATGAACAAGATGAAAACAAAGGATGATGATGACTGACTGATTCACAAATATTTTTATGAAGCTACATCACTGACAGTCTTTTCACCCAGAACATTACCCACTGCCTAGAGTTTATAACCAAAAGGATGCTGAATAAAACCGCATGAGAATTTGTACTCCTCATAAAATTTTATTTGGATCATGATATCAAGAAGTATGAGATGGACACTGCATGTAGCATGTGTTCGAGAGAGAAGAGAAATGCTTAAGTCTTGCTAGAAAGACCTGAAAGAAATGGGACCACTTGAGAAAGACTTAGCCACAGCTCAGAGAATACTACTAAAATGCATCTTAAAAAGGATTGGAGAGTATGGACTTGATTCAGGTGGCTTAGGATAGGGAACAGAGGCAAGCTCTTATGGACACGGTAATGGACCCTGTCATTCTATAAAAGGCTGGGCAGCTATTAGTATCTCAAGAAGGATGTGACGACTGACCAACTGACTGAATGCGAGTGAATGTGAACGTATGATTAGTCAGTCAATAAGGTTTTACACAATAAGCACAACTAGGCCAGTTGTTGGGACAGCTCATGTGAATGGATTCATCAGTTTAGTTCCCCATTTGCTTGAAGATGGAAGCAAACTCAGTTTCTCAAACACTGTGTTTTAGTATAAGACCTACAAGATGGATAATGTTGAGTGTGTAAAAGAGACAGAAATAAATTGATGGTAAACAATATTATAATAACAATGGACCAGACAGACACAATTAAAACCATGTGATTGCTACCATTAATAAAGTTTGTAGATAACTGGCTTCTTCATTAGTGGTCATTAGATCCTCCTCCTGCATGATGGACAATGTTCAATGAAAATATTCCTATAACATATTAGAATTCTCTCATAAACTTTTAAAACCACATTAAATAGACATTAGCAGCATTAACTTTTAACATAAGGCATTTATGTGTAAAGTATGGGAAAAACTTTGTCCCATATAGTTGCCATGTTCACGCAATAAGTCTTGCAGTTGCGTTAGAACATTCCAATGCTATCCCCTTCTCTGTTCCCTGACTTTTCAAAGAACATATAATCCTGTGGGAACAAGAAAACACAGCATTAACACTTATACAGTTCTCTGTACATTACACATTATACAAATCTATGAACAATTCAACTGATCTTCTTGTTCATAAGTTTTCGTAGCCGGTATCTAACGCGTGCCTTCGGATGTGGCTAAATCCGTAATTACACATCATTCATAAATATTATAACTAATGCATCCAGTTATTGTCTATCTGACCTTCTTGGCTTCCGCCTGCTTCGACACGATGAAAAAATATAGTTACACATTACCACAACTCAATCTGTTCGGTGATTAAACACCAACTGAACCATAAATAAATATACATATAAATTCAGTGTTTAAGGTCTTGGGTTCAAGACTAGTAAGGTCTAGTGTGTGCTATTCTGCCCGCCAGCCCAACAAAGTTTTCTTATGACTTATGAGTTACAGCTTTCTAAACATGAACACTAATCCCCACAACAGTTCAGAGATGTACATGAAGCTGTGTATTAGCCATCACATTCACCATCATGTGTCAGAAGTATAGTTATGCTCAGTAAATTGACTTTTCATCATTTCCACTCCTGGTGAGAAAAGACCAGAGTGATTCACCACAAAAACACAATTTTACCTTCTGAGGTACAATTTTATTTTACCCCATGTGACCCCACCTGGTCCAACTATTTCTGCAGAAAAATCACTGCACCATTTAATTTCTAACTGTGCAAAAATAAAATAGCCAAAATCCATCCATATTAATTCTGGTGTATGGCTGAACTGAAAAACGTAAAACACTAAACTATCTTTTTTATTGCTAGTGGGGTGGGACTAAGTCCCTTGTACTGCGGCCACTTCTGGCCTATTGTACCAGCCCCAGATGATAGGGGAGGGTGATTGTGGAGCAATTGGTGGAATGAAGATTGGCAGGGGAAACCGAAATACTCGGAGAAAACCTGCCCCAGCGCCACTTTGTCCACCACAAATCCCACTTGACCAGACCCGGGATTGAGCCCGGACTGCCGTGGTGGGAAGCCAGCGACTAACCGCTTGAGCTGTGGCACGGCCAACACTAAACTAAGTGCAGTGTAGAACTACCACACAAAAAACAGACTCAGTCTGGTACATGACTGTAATGAAAAACTTGAGAAACTTGACTGAGTTCAAGTTAGGGTATAAAAGTTAGTTTGTTACTACAGCCTCTTCAGCTCACCACATGGAGATAATTAGATCACAATATTATCATACACACTTTATAATTTAATAACATTATAGAATATCCAACAAAAATATGTATTAAATAATCTCTCAATATGAAACACATTTTTCGCAAGCCTCTATATTATTAAATTAAACAGAACACGCTGTAAAGACAAGTAAGTGTTATTTACATATTACACACTATGTACCCAACAAGAAAGCCCAAAACCATGTTAGCTGATATAAAACTTCACCCTTCACATACCACAAGCCAATTAAGTCAGACAGAGGAATTCTGCTGATAAATGGCAAGTGTGACATATCAATATTTAGAAGAAAGAGCAGGCTTTCTCAGGATTTATACCTGTGGTTGTTTCAAGGTCATTTGAGAAGGCATTGCCAGTTTTCCCATGCAACTGTATTTACCCTCTTGAAGCAATGGTGTTTCCAGCAGGTAGTTTTATGGCAGGGTTTGGCAGTCAGAGGATTAAATACAAACTGAATCTGCAGCCAAGGATTCAATTAAAATTGCATTTTCCACTTCTCATAACTGTGGTCACATGCATGTGATAAGTGCAGAACAAACCTGACTGCCTGATTTCTTACATGAAGCATGAGATGTACCTAAATATTTAAGAATTCCGTTTATACCTCAACAGAAAACACCACATACACATTACAAAGACCAAACAAATAATGCTGTTTATGGAAATACACACTGTATTCTGAGAACATGAAACATATAAATACTTTATGATTAAAACACAGAATTTAATTTAAGGATCTAAGAGTGGATACTATGTTCTGCAATGTGACACTCTGTAGTCCTGTAGATGTACACCGATATTTCACACAAACACCTTGTTTCTTGCTGGCTGCTGGCTGCTGGCCTAGCTTGCTCTTTCACCCTGAAGATGAAGGCAGAAGGTTCTCCCAAACATCAGTGAACACATGTCAGAGTAGATGGTATCATATCCCAGAACACATTACTCTTCAAAATGCAGAATGTTTTAATGTTAAAGCAGGCAATACGTACACTAACCACTACGAGCGGAAAGATTATATATTTGGAATGTCAAGACTAAGGGATTTACTATCACAGGAAATATAGTGATGTGTAGCTTTGCTGCAAATCTGCTAGTGGTGATTCTTAATGGTCCATAAAGAGATTCTGTGATGACAAAGGATGTGCTGTGAAACCAGGCAGTCCATAATGAGACTCTGTGATGACACCGAACATGTGGTGAAATTGGTTGGTCCACAAACGTATTCTGTGATGACACTACATGTGCAGTGAAACTGAATGAGCCATAGTTGTTCTGTGGTGCACATCTACGATGCATTGATAACTGCACATCTACTATTTGCGGCACACTAACAGAGCTCAAATAACTACTGCATACACATGAAACAGCTGCTTAAATTTATAAAGATATCCAAAAACATATTAACAATAATGCACATACAATGCTGTCTTCTTTAAATTGAAGTAAACACAGAATATAATGTGTTGGTGTACACTACTGGAATTTACCTTTCAAGAAAGATCAAACTAAAATACTAATAAATATTGGGGAACATGCAGCTGTTTAGTTAACTAGCTTCATGGAGCTCAGTTCTTCTTGAGAAGATATCAGTTGCTCACCTACTCAAGAAACTCCTAGGATTTTATGGAACAAGAAGGTTCATTACCGTTTCCACAACAACCCACAACAGTCCCTATCGTGAGCCAGAGGAATCCAATAAATTTCCATATTATACATACATTTCTGAACTTGTTTCTTACTTTATACATTTTGCCCTCAAAGTTAAGAGACCACTTAAGAGTGAAAAGGTTAGTTGATGCAGAAAGGTGCAAATATCTGCTACTACTATTACACATACTACATATAGACATATAGACATATAGACATCATGCTACCATCATTCCGTCCATCCATTAGCAAGTGCAGTTAGTTTCAAGGCTGCAGCCTCTGAGAAGCAACATTTCGCAACTCTTACCTCACGTCATCAAAGTCATAAAACAAAATCATACATAATGATTTCCGGCTCAAAACATTCCGGGACGATCAGACTCTCTGTTGCCTTGTTTCTCAAAGAACATCACATCCTATGTCAAATGAAATTTAATATAAATGACGATACACACGTTACACCTCACTATGGCAGACAATGTCTTGTTTGTCTAAGGTACAGTCCCGGTTATTTACTTCCAGCAGGAGAAAGAGATTGTTCTCTTCTCCGCATTGTGCAGATGGATTCTGGGGCTCATGCATGCTCCTATCCAATGGTTACCAAGGGCTCTTCCTACGAGGGTACAGCAGCAGGGGTATGAAGCTGACCACTCACCTCCATCTAGAGCTCAGGTTAAGATGGAGCTATGCCTCCACTCCCCCATACATTTTCATTGAATAATGCTTAATTAAGCACAGGGACAACATTAACTATATATTTCATGATTCTGTCTAGCTCAGACAACACAGCATCAATACATCTGAGATCCTGACGCTGGTGATAATGAGCATCATTACCTTCTTAGCTGTGGCACATTATTAGCAATGTTTCGGAGGCAGTTGTTGCCTCCATATTCTGAGTGTAAAACTGTGAGCTTACGAGGCAACAGGTTACTTCAGAATGTTGGTAATGATCCACGTTACTGCTAGCATCACGACCCGTAAGACCGTAATCTCAATACAGCACCAAATTGTGGGATGTTCGTCCTGTGTCAGCTCTTACACCAGAAGTCAATGTTTCAATAATCAAAGGCAATAGAAAAGTCAAATGCAATGGCTGAATTTACTGTAACAGAAAAAGTTGTCTCTGCGCTCAGTTAAGCATCATGCCATTAAGACATGTGGACAGTGGACGTATAGCTTTACGCATTCTTAACTTAACTAGATGAATACCTGCGGTCAGCTTCACACCATCAATACTTTACTCTTAGGGCCCAGTGTACGAGAGACTAAGCAGGCCTCTGAATTTTCTTGGATGCCGCACAGAAGAGAACAATCCTAGCGCATGCCAGGAAGTTAACCCTGATTCCCTGGTCATGTAGCCTGTAGACTACTCACTGTCCTGAGTTACACTAGTGCCATAATTTGACGTAACAACGCAAACTTCCCTTGGTAAGCATGACCCCACCCCCCCCTCCAGTACTCTAAACAGGAAAGAAAAAGTATTACTAACACTACAATCATAAGGATTGTTGCAAAAGCTATGAAACTGAAACACTGATCCAGTGGGATCACTGGAAGCAAGAGGGTACATCTACTTACTCTAACAGGCTTGTTCATGCTGCAAATGCAGTCATTACACATGGTGTGACAGGCTGTGTCTACACTAGGTTGCACTTTTAAACAACTGCATCTCAAACAAGAACAGAAATGAAACAAAGTACAGACATTTCTCACAGTGCATTTTCCAGTTTTGCTGTGATATATGTCGTGTCCTCAGGTATCATGAACAACATCCCACCCCTCCTATCTTAACAACACAGCACTCCTCCTCCATCAACATCCCACCCCTCCCATCTTAACACATTCAGGACCAGAGGGGCCAATTGGCCCTCTAAGTTTCTATAACGTTGTGGACCGGGCGGGCCAATTGGCCCTTTTCTGACGCGTTATGTTGCAAACCCGACTATATCTTGCTGTGTGGCCACGCTGCATCATAACTACTGCATAGTTGACGTCGGGAATGTTTTCTAGCTTAGCCAGTAACATGATCACGCTCATTTCCTGTCACACCCTAAAGAAAAACAACCGGTCCGCAATGTGTTAACAACACTGCACTTCTCCTCCTTCATCAACATCCCACACCTCCCGTCTTAACAACACTGCACTTCTCCTCCTTCATCAACATCCCACACCTCCCGTCTTAACAACACAGCACTCCTCCTCCTTCATGTTTCATCATTGACTTCATGGTGATGGGACCTTATGCACTTGATTCCTGATGTAGTCCCACAAGAGAAGTCTGCTGCAGAGGAAGAAAGTGACTGCGGGGGCCAGGCACTGCCTCTGTGGTCTAGTGGTTAGAGTTCCTGGCTACAGATCCAGAGGTCCCATGTTCGATTCTTGGCACTACCAGATTTTCTGAGAAACAGTGGGTCTGGAACGGGATCCACTCAGCCTCATGAGGATAATTGAGGAGCTATTTCAAGGAAATAGTGACTCTGGTCTAGAAAACCGAGATTAACGGCCGTGGGGATCCGTTGAGCTGACCATCCAACACCCTCTACCCACAAAAAGATGGCACCAACTTTGCTGACAACCAACAGTCGCTCGGTCGGTATAGTTTGCTCATGGACTACAGGCCATGGAATTTTTTGTTTGTTTGTTTGAGGGGGCCATGCAATGGATGCTGCTCAACCAATTCATGCTCTGGGAAATGTCTGTATTAAATTCATGTTCCATGGGCACACATCGGTTTTCTGTTCCCCATATCTGGAGATGTAATGTTTGTACACTTCACCACTTACACGGAATAGGGTTTCATCAATACACCATAGTGAATTGGTTGTACAAAAGTGCCACCTAATTTAGAAAGATCCTGTACTGAGTACACTAAATTGTCTAAGAATGTAATTTGAAGGTGTAACCATTAAGACATTCCTTATAACTTCATAATTTCCATACAAAAGTTGATACACTGACATGACTACCAACATATCATTACAAATAATTATGCAGATACAGGTATGAAAAATGAAATCTGATAGTACAAGAGTGAATATGCAGTCCCACATCAGTACTTACAATCAGAAAACATGCGCCAATCATAACCGCCTTCATCTTCACATCCAAATCCATGGGGAAAGTAATTCCGAAGTAGTCGGCATCAGTGAATGCTTCTCTCAGCAGCCCAGCCCACTGTTTAGAGATCTTCCCCACCTGCGTACCTCCATCTCTAGACAGAACCTACACAGTAAATGTATTCATTATACAGTATGTGTCAAGAAAATATACACAAACATCGATATCTTCATGAGCTGAAATGCAACTTAACTGATTTTGTTAGTGTCAATTGTCAGCTCATTTTAACAAATCAAAGCAATCATACACACACGAGTCACATATTTCAGAATATTTTCTCTGTGATTTTGCATACTTATCATCCTTAAGGTTCTGAAAATGTAAGTCTAGCATTTAGGATGAAAATCTGTTGCTAATATCACAATACATGTTAAAACACTTAACATCACAGAACAAAATAAACAATCTCTCCTTCAAAGAAAATATGTGAGTCTGGTAAATTTCAATTCTCTGGATTCCAATCTGAGCTTGATAATTTTCTATAACCCACCATTATCAAGGGAGAGGAAATGTCAACTACAAGCAGCATATCTCACAAAACTTCAAGGGGTTATTATGTCAGTTAATTTGAGTAAAAAGATGTTATAGCAACATGAGTTTGGTTCTCAACTGTTATGGAGCTATTCCTAAGTACTTAGGAACTTTGAAAGAAATCAGAGATCGAGTAAAACAACTGACAATCTCATGACCATTATTTCAATTTCATTTTCCAAAAAAACAACTGCAGAGTCGCTACTCTCAAAACTGAATCTTAATGAGAGGTACATATTGTGGCATACCACCTAGGGCCAGAATATTTTGAATCAGATAGCATCCATTGCTATACAACGGCTGACAAATCTAAGCAACAAACTGTTTAGGGCAGTTGCATGACAATGGTACAATGGTTTCGGTCACTAGGTTTTGATGCACAAAGTGTAAAGCTAGCTGTTGGAAGCTGATATCCATGGCAACGAATACGCTAGCTAACTAGTGAAGTTCCCACTATGACAGAAAAACACTAGCTACTGGCAGACAGAACACGTGAAACAAAACCCTTGAACATGGTGTCTTCTGGCCCATCTGACAGCAGCATATAAGAGAAGACCAGGTCAGAATTGAGACGAGATTACAACGGGCCGAAATACAAAGTGACACAAAACATTACAGAGAAGACACTCCACCGAGAATAGCGGCGCAGGAGGAGGAAACATATGAAAAGTGCGAATAATTGTATTAGAGAGTGCAACATTCGTCTAATCCGAGATCCACATAAATTTCTTGCTGTGTTACCTAGGATACATGCAACAATATTTTCATACTTATTTTCCAAAAAATCATTTTTCTTTTTCAAATATAGCAATATTTTCCATAATATTTTTGTAATCTGCTCTTAAAAATACACCAAAATCACTAAAAAGTAGCGTTTATACCTCAGGCTATACAAAGAAAGAAACCAACCTTGAATTCAACATCTCCACAGATGCTGAATGTACATATTGGTCCTTCAATCTTCAGCACTGTATCGCCTGCACTGTTTTTGATGTTAAACTGTGGGGTGAGAATGCTCCACTCCTGCTCAATTGAACCAATGACGGTTCCAGGGGGTGACGATACCTCCATACGCTTTACAACACAAGACATAGCTATGTAGGATTTGGTGTTCTCAAAGCGGAGATTATGAAGAGTGTTACCTTCTGGGATATCACCCCGTATAAAACAGTGAAAGTCAACCTCTGTCAGGATACCAGCATGAAACTGGCAATAAGCAAAGCTCTGCCTGTTGCCTGTTTCATGCTTGTTTCTTACTCGGCTTACTCTTCAACCCTGAAGATGGAAGTGACGTGTTTCTCCAAAATGTTTGTTGACTTTCAACGGACTATAAGGTATTATATCCCAGAAATTATTACTCTTCTCGAGATGCAACTGTTATCAAATTGAAAAATGTTCTGCCATAACTCTTGCTGTTATGTATAAAAGTACAATCGGGTTTCAGCTATGTGACAGCACAAACTCAGACACCACATTTATGCATTACACACTGACGGCAAAAAAAACTTAGTAATAAAAATTTGGATTTTGTGCTTCACAGATAGCAACACACCGGAAGAAAATAAAATTTATTCTCAATTATTAGCGTTCTTCATTAAGTAAATTGTGGCAGTCCTGCGTCCTCATCTGTCTGTCACATATCAGCATCTAAACCAATGGACTAGCTCTTTTTAGAAATCTGACATATTATTTCATTCTACATACTCTACTTACTGACAGAATTGTAAAATAACCCACCAAAAAGATGTAAGACACTCTTGAATATTGTTTTCTGGGCAACCTTTGTATAAATCTCAAATAAATTCAAGATATTAAGAAAAATAAAGATAGCAATATGCATGAACAACAAAGAGGTCCTACAAACACTGAATGCAGCTTACTTGCAGACAGCAGGGGAACCAGCAGCTGTCGCAGGCTAGGGGCCGGTTCAGGTGAATCACTTCCGTCTTGTAATTATCAAGAATCTTCATGTCAAATGGCCGCAGGGGGCCACAACAATTTCGTGTGAGACAGTCTGAATCTTCCACGGCATAGTAAACTTTCTGTCCCATGCTGTTCTTTATGGTGTATTTATTCTGAGTTTCAAATCCAGTAAACGCTGAAACAACAAACAATGCATAGCTGCATATTTACATCAGGGCCACAGACATCTGAAATAAAAGTTCACAACAAAATTGAAATTTCAACATATTTTCATTCTAATTACAATAGCTCTGCTTCAAATTTTTGATGAAAATATCATAACAGGTGCATAATCTTCTAACAACATTAATTTCTTTAATAAAAACGTCAAATACCTAAAACAGGACACTTTAAAACTTGACTTATGCACCTAAAACATTCAAGATTACAACGAAAAAATTTACAGATTACAATTCATTAATATCCTACTCAGATATTTACAAATTATGTATATACATCAGTAGATAAGATAATTTTAGAAACATACTAATCAGGCATCTGACTGCATCATAGTTATGTCTGTTATCAACTCTTCTTTTTTAAAATNATGACGACAAGCGGCTACAACTAATTTGTTCCAAAACATATCTCACCTTCGAGCAACTCCACTTTTTGATGTACTAGCAGCTGGTCAATCATAGTAAGGTATTCCAAACCGCGAGGGATATTGGGATTGCCTTGTGGCATATTCATCCATCCACCTGCAAAACATTACATGTCCACAGTTACAGCTCAGCTCTTCAAGCAGTTCATTACACCATCTCAATTTAATTACAGTTTCTTACAGAATTATAACAAAATCCACCATTTTCAATTTTTGCTGTTTACCCGGAACAGCAAGTGGCTACGGGCTGGACAACCAAGGGGTTGGAGCTCAAGACTTTTCACTGTTCCATGTTGTCCAGACTGCCTCTGGGGCCCACCCAACCTATCAAATGGGTACTGGGAGCTCTTTCCACAGGGGTTAAGGGGCCGGGGTGTAAAGCTGACAACTTACATCCAACCAGTGCTGAAGTAAGGAACACTTGGATCTATACACCTACTCCCCCATACATCTTCATGGCATTGTGCTTAATTAGTTAAGCACAGGGACAACTTTACCTTTACTTTTCCAGTTAGGCTTGTAGACCGTGAAATAAGCAGCTGTCAAAACGGTAAGAATGTACTGTCAGGAGTAACTGCCTGTAACTAGACAATGCCATTAAAAACAATAAACTGTAACTCTGAGTTTGCACTCTCGGATTCTGAGTTCCCACCCCAAAACTTAATGAACTTTTCATTTGGTCCCTGCCAAATACCTGTAGGAACAATGTTATACCTTGGCCAATTTTACCCTGACTTGCATCTCTTCCCAAATACGGCATTCATGTTTCAAGTCCTGATGAGGGAAGTATGCCTAATTTTACATTTACAACATTCAATTCAATAAAACTAAAAGAAAATTGTGCTGTTCCACATGTTTAAGACCTGTACTAGTAAACTAAGCACATTTTTCCAACTGAGAGCTGAAGAAGGAGGAGGAAGAGGAGAAGGAGAAGAAGAAACAAATAAGCCTGACAGGTTAAATAAATAACATGGCATATTAATGTATTTGCATTTACATTGCTGTATATTTCTAAGTGGCTTAGCTGAAGCGACAAAGTGACCCACATTTTCCATTTTACTGAATCATTTTCATCTCCCTTGTCTCACATTTTCCGCTATTTTACATTTATTTTAGACGGTCCCATCAAAAAATGCAAAATCATGGTTTCACTGCAATTCCTATTTACCTATCACGTGATCTTCTACTCTCCATATCCAGTCTATTGCTAGAAGCTGAGCCCTTCTTGAGGAGCCGCCAAATCTGCAGCTACTCAAGAATATTCCAGCATTTTATGGAACCAGAAGGTTCATTACCATGTTCACAAGAGCCCTCCACTGCTCCCTATCCTGAGCCAGATTAATCCAATCCATGCCATCCCATCCTATCTTTCTAAGATCCATTCTAATATTGTCCACCCACCTACGCCTTGGTCTTCCCACTGGTCTCTCTCCTTCTGGCTTTCCCACTAATATCCTATATGTGTTCCTCTTCTCCCCCATCCGTGCTACATGCCCTGCACTATTATAACACTATAACTGTTAACCCTTTCACTGCTACTGCAGTAGGATCAAAACCTGCATTGCTAACTCTTGAAATAAAACAGTTGTGAGCTCTATGGCCTTCACAATAGCGGCTATGAAGATGACCACCTTCTGGGAGGTAATACTGTGTAGGCTGTGTTGATATTTATTCCATCTTCGGGGTCAGAGATATACAGGAGGGAGGACATGAAGTGGGGCTAAGAGAACAAAATGGTGAAGCGCAAAGTGAATGGAAACCTGTGATCCTGAGAAGGGCTGAAATTTCAGACAGGAAGAGATATAAAATGTAATGATGGTGAAGAAAAAACTCCGTGGTTTTAGTCCTCAAGCGAACTATACCGACCGAGCGACCACCGCTTGTCTGCGAAATTAGTGCCAACTTTAGCGGATACAAGGTGTCATATGGTCAGCGCAATGAATCCCCTCAGCCGTTAATTGCCTAGCAACAATCGTTGCACGGGCTCGCCTGTTGCGTGAGTCGTAGGAGGTGACGAAAAGGGTAGTCTCAAATCTGAGACGGTAAAATATGGTTAGAAGTCCCAAGGGACTCAGACCCGAGAAAGACCGCTCTAGCAAGGTCTAGCAGTATATACAAAAGACAGACCCGTCCTCTCGTCAGAGAGGGCGCCCCACAAAATTAAGACCGTAACTGTCAAACGGTAATAATTAATGTCTGGTCATGAACCCCACATGGGGCTTGACACCATGACTTATTGACTGACTGACCGTCAGTCGCAATGTGACTTGGACTTGGTACACATTCTCTCCCCGTGTGGAGGCGGGGTCGAATACCTCCACCGTGACCCTGCGAGTCGTAGGAGGCGACGAAAAGGGAAGTCTCAAATCTGAGGCAGTAAAATATGGTCGCAAGTCCCAGGGGACTAGGACCCGAGAAACACTGCGCTGGCAAGGACCATCGGCATATAAAAAGACAGACCCATCCTTTCGTCAGAGAGGGCGCCTCACAGAAACAAGACCGTCGAGGAGTAATAAATATCTGGTCATGAGCCCCAGGAGGGTGCTCGATACCAAGATTTAATGACTGACTGATTGTCAGTCGCAATATGACTTTGACTACACATTCTCATTATCATGATTTTGTATGACTTCTGCATGCAGGCAACAAGCAGAAGTCATACAAAATCATGATAATGAGAATGACAATGAATGATGACAAGGCGAAGCCAGCCACAGAAAGTATAAGGGGCTTAAACTTAGCGGCGGTCAGACATACGACTGTTCAAGTGACTGAACTGCCGTGGTAGCTAATACTGGTAGAAACAGGGCATAGTCTGCTGTACTGAGCCAGGACTGACAGAGGCCTTGTATATAGTGTACACAGAAATAGGAATTAAGATTAAATTTGTAAATATATGTAAATACTGACAATGGACTTACTAACACAGACTATGACTGATAAATGACAGACCCGACATCTCGTCAGAGAAGGCGCCCCAAATGAACAGGACAGTAACTTTCATATAAAAAAAAATCTGGTCATGAGCCCCAGTCGGGGCTCGACACCAAGACAGACAGACTGACTGACCTTCAGTCGCAATGTGACTGACTTGAAGAAGACAGTCACAGCCTTGCGGGGAAGGGTGTTTACCGAGCGTTGCGTAATGATAGGAGTGGGGGGGGGGTACGTGACGTCACTCGTGGAAACGCAGAGTTCACGTGACCCCTACTTCCTGTTGCGCCATCCACGTCACAATATGATAGCGCCGGGAATCGAACCCGGACCTCTGGATCTGTAGCCAGGAACTCTGACCACTAGACCACAGAGGAGGTCGATGGTAAAATGTGTATAATAAATAAAATAAAAATAATGCAATAAAACAAACACAAATATTACAAAAACGTGAAATAAAGATTGACCAAGAAAAGTGGGGGGAACAAATTTTACAAAAACCTCCGCCCAAATCTTAAAACACAACTGTTACAAAAACAAACATTAAAACTTTATCATAAAAACACATGAACATCAAACCTTTTTTCTTCTTCAGTGAAGAACACAACATAATTAATTTCCGTTGATGCAGCGAACATAAATTCATCGGGGATATGGACAATAAAATTTCTTGCTCTTTTCCAGAGCCTCTTGAATGATGGCGCTGGAATGTGGCTGTGTTTGGAACAACCAACGATGTAACATACACGATGACCAAACCTGGATAGTTTTCTACGAATATTTGATGACTTCCACATTTTCCCCTTCTTACAGTCACCATTATCATACATTCTGTGCACCCAACATGTGTCACTGATCATGGGCTACCCTTATCACCAGTTTCACTTCTGTCTTTCTTAACAGTTGACTGTTCAGCTACGGATTTCCTATACACAAGACTATGGACCCGCATGTCATTCGCTCATGACTGAAGTCACCATATATCAGTTCATGAATAGCAACGAATAGTTCATCAGCAATCAAGACACATCTGAAAACAGAACTTCAACATTCAACACTGCTAACACTAAGGCTTATGATTCTGACCCCCTATAAACAACCTCTCATTTTCAAAACTGATTTTCTTGCCCAGAGACAGCCGTCTTCTGAGATGTGATGGTTCAGATGAAACCCACTAACAGTCACGGTACAAAATGCACCAGTAGAACAGGAAATTCGTTGCTGACAGGTTTCATTAGCTAGTACATTAATGGGATCCTTGCTCCAGCACCCAGGGGGGTTATTTTTAATCGCCTCTACTTCTTCACCCAAAAATATCCAAAATGGGTTTTAACTGAACAATCAACATATTTAATAACGTTCCTGAGGGACCCACTGCCTCCATCTTCAAGGTAGAAGAGTATGTCAAGTGGGGAAAAGCAGTCAATGATATAAGGACAAGCACTAGGGCTAAGTCTGAACTGATAGGCTTGTTATTTTACCCTGAAGATTGAAGTAGCAAGTTTCTCCAAAACACTGGTAATATTTACCAGACTACACAGCCTCAAAAAAGGTAAAACTATCCCTGTAACAGGCCGTGGAGGCCCACAGGGTTGTGAGACGTTGAGGATCCCACATTTCTAGACAATCGGCTCACAGACGGCGGCAAGGTTGTCAGCCTTACGTGCCGGCCGGCCTTTACCCCCCAGGGAGATTCCTGGTACTCATTTCAGTTAGAGGCTGAGTCATTCACAGTGCCATAGTGCGGCAGGAAGGATTAGGTCAACTGAAAAGAAATCCACCTTATCGGAACTCGAACCCACGACCTTCGCGGCTTGTGGCACAGTGCCTCAACCAACCACACTACCGCGTGCTCCTTTACACAGCTTTACATCATGGAAAACCATAATCTTCCGTTACTACCTTGATAACTTCTAATCTAACAGATAGCAATCTATCTACATAGTGAAGATATTTCCCGAAAAGCTGATAGTTACTCAGCAGATCAAAAAATTCTCTACTCTGTGGAACCTTCAGGTTCATCACACAGGTCTGCCACCTGACTGCATTCCATACCCTACTCCTCTAGGATTGAAATTAATGTTACCCTACCGTCTACGCTTAGTCTCACAACCGGCCGCGCCATGGCTCAAGCGGCTAGTCGCTGGCTTTCCCCCGCGGCGG